CTCAAAGTACAACTTTTTTTCTGACGCTTCTGTCTGTTGGCTGCCTCCATCAGATTTGAACTCACCATGCTTCCATAACCATGTAAGCCAATTCCTTGAAATAAATCTCTTTCTATATATATGCACATCCTACTGGTCTGTTTCTCTGCAGAACTCTAATACAGGGTTGGTGGGCAGTACCAGTATTTCTGCCAGAGGAGGTATCCTTATTATTATGTCTGGCAATGCTGGCCTGGAAGGGGTGGTCCAGGGCACTGATCCTGTCCCCAGTGGATGAAATAGTTCTTCAATGACTGGGATGGATTTACTGGGAGGATCCCACAAAGCTGGGAGGGAATGTCAGGCCCACAGAGAGGCTAAGAGAATCAAGATTCAAAAACTGCTTAGTCTGCAGAAGGATGTGTAGGCACCTACAAGAAGAAATGTAAAATAAATCAATGAAAAGTCCTCCTTTTGGGTTCAGTTGTGCAGATGTAAAACCAGGGCCCGGGGCAGGAGAGTGCAGCCAGCTTAAAAGCACTAGATGTGTACAAGATTTAGTGCTTTTAGCTTGACCACAAGTACAATATGGGCCAGTTCCTTCCTGAGTTATGTTAAGAGAAGAAAGGCTGAGATGAGGCTGACCGGCCAAAGGAGGCACAGTCCCAGCCTCTGGATTTCAGGGCAGGATCAGGACAGGCAGGTGGAAATCACAGGAAGCTGGACTTGGGTCCAGTGAGAACAGTCAGTGCTGACCAAAGATGGACTGGGTGTCTCTGGGCAGTTGTCTCCTTGTCACCAAGAGTGTTCCAGGAGGTATCCCATCTGCACGATTAACCAAAATGCTATCAAGAGAAAGAGCATGCGCTTTGGATAGGACAGACCTAGACTCGAGTTAATTAGTGTGACCTCCAGTGAGTCCCCCTTTCTGAGCCTCCATTTCCTCCACTGTGAAATGGGCCCACAGAGCTCAGGAAATGCCTGTGCTGCACTGGAAATCCCTGGGTCAGCTCTCAGAGCAGCCAGTGAACATAAGCTCTTTGCCACATTTGCTGGCTTACCCTGAAATATCCTCTGGCTGTCCCCACTTCCCTGTCCAAGTCCCCAAGCTTGTGCCAACCTGAGAGTGTCTCATGTGGCCCAACCTTGCTGCCATTCAACCTATGGGAGGGCAAGGTAGCAAGGGAGGGGTATGTCCTCCTTTTATCTGTTGAGATGTGTTCAGCAGCAAGTAACAGAAAAATCCAGCCAACAGTGTTTAAACCCTGAGGATGGTACTGCTCACTTAACAAGAAATCTGAAACAGACACACCTGGATGCTTCAAGTGCCTCCATGAGAGTCAGGGAACCGGGCTTGCTCTCCCCCCTCTGCCACCCCCAGGGCATCCATGATGTTTTCCTGCAGGTTCACAGGCCCAGTTTCTGGTCCTCGTAGGACTACCCCCAAGCAGGAAGGATTTTTTTGTCCATGCATGTCTTTCTTTTCCTGCAAGGAGAATCTTTCCCAACCTCCCCGTACATCTTGCATGACCAGCTTGTCCTGGTTTGCCTGGTACTTTTCTGGTTTGTACTGAAATTCACAGGTCCTGGGGACCCCCTTAGTCCTGAACAAATCTGACTGATTGGTCTCCCTATTTACATCCCATTGTCCAGAACTGGGTCATGGGTCCATCCCTTGGTCAATCCCTAGCAAAGCTCATGAATTACCCTGACTGGTTTAAGCCAATCGGGATTCACCTCCTGGAGGACTGGGCACATTGCCATTAGAACTGACCAGGGATTCTGTGAGCAAGGAAGGACTGTCTGCTAGGTGTGCACTCTGCAGGGTCTGCAACACTTGCGTGTACCAGGAATTAGCAAAGCCCTCCCCCGGGATCATCACCATCATGCTGTGTGTGTGTGACTAAGTGTGAAAGAATTAGGAGCATGACAAGGATATGTAGGAGGGAGGAGAGGTGGAGAATGGCCCAAAATATGGGCTTCCTCTATGGTCATGGGTAACAAGTTCATTTTTAATCTGACCTTCATGTGCCTAATTAGTATGTAGTTCTCCAGGCATGATATCCAAGTGGGCAGCTTTCAGGTAAAAATATCAAAGACCAGAAACAGCTGGTCTTTTTCCTAAGCTGGCCTATCTTTTGACTGTCACTGTAGGGACGGTAGAAGAGGGGACATCAGAGCAGGACAGAGGGGCTGGACTGAGGGCAGGCTAAAGGGTCAGCCCCAGCCTGGCTCCCTGGGGAGGCGTGGGTCCTTTAGACTCCTCGCTCACCTCTCGCCTCAGCTACACTAGGAGCAGAACTGCTCAGAATCTGGCCTAGGTTTACCTGACATCAGTCTCATGATTGTGAGGTTCCAGCTCCAGGGCCAGTCACCTTCTCTTCAAACTTTAAAGACAAAGACATTGAGAATAAATCATTTGTAAACCTGGAAATGGTGCTCCATTCAAACAAATAGTTATTGAGCATATCTACTAATAAGCCAGGCACTGTGCTGTGCTAGGGATCAAACAGCAAACATGACAAGTAAGAGCCCCACCCTCACAAAACTGACACTCTAGAGGTGGCAGACAGACAATAAGCAAGAACTAATACCTATATATTGTCATCAGTAATAAGTGCAATTAAAATAAAGCCAAAGAAAGGGCTAGAGAATGACTAGGTAGATGGGGTGAGGGGTGGCTGCTCTTCTAGATCAAGGGTTTGCAAATTACTGCCTGTGAGCTGCTACCTATTCTAGTAAATAAAATTTTATGGGAATACAGCCAAACTCTCTTTTTTTTTTACATGTTGCCTATGGCTGCTTTCATGCCACAATAGCAGAGATGAGTTATTGCAAGAGATGATATGATCCACACAGCTGAAAATATTTACTATCTGACCCTGAGGAAAAAAAACCTTGCCATCACAATGAGGTACCACTTCACACCAACTAGAATGGCTACAATCAAAAAGACAGACAATAACAAGGACCAGGGAGGATGCAGACAAATGGCTGCTCATACATTGCTAATGGGAGTTGGAAAACAGGCTGGCAGTTCCTTGAAAGGGTAAAAATAGACTCGCCATATGACCCCAGGTCATATGCACCCAAGAGAAATGAAAGCATATGTCCACACAAAAACTTGTGCAAGAATATTCATAGCAACATTATTCATAATGGAAAAAAGTGGGAACAACTTAAATGTCCATCAGCAGGTGAATGAATAAATAAAATGTGGTATAGGCACACAGTGGAATATTACCTAGAAGTAAAAAGAAATGTCATTTTGATGCCTGTTACAACACGGGACAACCGTGAAGACTCTACGCTAAATGAAAGCAGTGGCCATAAGGGACCTCACATTATTCCATTTGTATGAAGTAAACAGAACAGAAAATATATAGAGACAGAGCGCAGATGAGCGATTGCCTAAGGCTATGGAGCCTGGGCAGTGACAGCTAAAGGGTGCAATTTCTTTCTGGGGTGATGGAAATTGATTGTGGTCAAAGTTACACAACTGCAAATACACTAAAAGGCACTGAATTGCACCCTTGAAGTATATGGTTGTATAAATTATATCTCAATAAAGCTGGTTTTAAAAGGTTTACCAATCTTTGTCCGAGAGAATCAGGAAGGCCTCTGAGGAGGTGACATTTGAGCTTTTGTAGTTGACTCAAAGCTCTCAAAGAGTAACAGCATTTTACTGAGCACTTATGAATCAGGCACTATGCAAAGCATTTTACTATTACTACCTCATTTAATCTTCACAAAAATCCTATGCCTTAGATAATGACAACCCCACTTAACGCATGAAGAAACTGGAGCACAAAGAGGTTATGTGACTTGCCCTAGGTCACACAGCTGATAAAAGGCAGAATTGGGACTCAATTCCGGGTGTTTCTGACTTCAAAGCCTATAGCCTTAACCACTGAGACATACTGTACATAATTCCCTAACCAGTTTCTGAATTGCTGATCTTTCCCAGGTCAGGAAGATGGCCCAAAGCAAGGTGGAGGAGATACAGAACAACACAGCCTTAAGAGAAGGAAGGAAAGGGCGTGCCAGGTGCAGAGAACAATGAGCACCCTGAGAGGTGGTCCTGGGCTCAGGCAGGGGCCTCACAGGGGGAGCAAGACGCTAACACAGTAGATCCCAAACCTCACAGGCCTAGAAATCAACTAGTGCAATATGTGAGAAAGAGGCTTATTTAAAGCACAGATTCCTGGGCCTCACTGGCAGAGATCTGATTTAGTGGGTCTGAGTTGGTGACAGGAATCCAATGTTCGCAAGCTCCCTGGAAGATGTTAATGTAGATGGCCCAGGGACCACACTGTGAGATGTCCAGCAGAAACTTCAAGGTCACACAGGACTTCTCTGGCTGCCCCCCCTCAGTTCTGGCATCCCTCTTTCCCTCTCCCTTTCTGACATCCCATATTGCTGACCCTCATCTTCTCCCTGTACTGGGACCCCGCTGAGCATTACAGGCCTCCCAGGCTCTGTTCCTGCTCTTTTCCCTACGTGCCACGACTTTCCCTGCCTTCCTTGCTCTGCTCCGTCTCCCCCAAGAAGCCTCATTCCATCTCTCCTTCCTTAGCCTCTTTAGGAAACCTTCCCTAACAGGCAAGTTTCTTTACTGCATCTATAAAAAAGATGTTGAAGGACAAACATGAAAATGTGTGCAAGGGGCATTGTAGGCACTCAAATAGTGGCTATTACTTTTATACAATAACATACTTATTATTATCCCCATTTTACAGCTGAGGGGAAGTGAGGTAAAAAAAAGACTAAAAAATACATCCAAGGTCAACCAGCTAGAAACTGATAGTACTTGGATTTGAACTGAGGCATCAGGTCCTTGGCTTTAACCATCCTGTTATATTGACATTCATTGTTATACGGCTCTGGTGAGAAACAAATGGCAGGACTCTGGCTCAGGGCCTGGCATGTGATAGGTGCCCAGTAAATACTGAAGACTGCAGGTGAATTGGAAGGTTTCTATATCCAGGAAGAGGGGGATGGAAATTACCCAAAGACTTTACTGATGATGATGTCTCATGCTTTTTATTTGACAAGACTCAACATCTTAAGATCTCTGAAGAGAACAGAATATAAAAAAATAATTCAGAAAACAAGGTTCAGAATAGCATTCCACTCAAAGCTTGGTGGCTCCAGAGTCTGCCAATATACTTCAGTGGGGGTGATTGTGGGTTTTAATTTCAGAACGTTAAGATAGTGCAAAGAAGCTGGGGAAGGAGGAAGGGTACAAGGTAGCTGATCTGGTTCCAGCCATCCCACTCCCCTGCCCCCTGCTGCTGCAGCTCTCTCTGTCAGTCTATATCCCCGGCACCTCAAATACTGAATCTCTCCCCATGAACAAGTGGAAGAGATTCAATCTAAAGAGGACTCAGTATTAGAAATCCCTGGGTGTTATTTTCCAATCAAGGTGCCACCTGGAATAGAGACCCCCTCCGTTCTGACTCCAAATTCTCTTTCAACTCAGGTCATTTATCTTGTCTTTGAGCTCCACACGAAACTTAAGGACCAGAAAGCCTCCTCTTTGAGAGCAGTCTTTCTACAGTCAGACAGCTTCCCTCCTGAATTGCATCAACAGGGAATCCTGTGGGTCAATTTCTTCCAATATGGATGAACTGTGAAAATATGCTAAGTGAGATCTTCAGTCTTGTCCTTTCCACACAGCTGTCCCACTTCCGGTGGCTCAGAGGTCAAGAAGACAACAGGAAAAAGAATTCTGAACGATCCTGTTGACTGAACCACAGCCCAAGACATCAGGATTAACCCAAATCTCAGGAAAAAATAAAAAGGACCATTTCAGTCGAGTTATAGGACACAAAAGATGACAAGAGTCGCCACTGGATAGGACTAGGCGGCTTTCCGGAAATGGACAACTTTCTGAAACGCTTGCCGAAACTCTTCGTTAAACACGGTATAGATTATTGGATTGATGAGGGAGTTTAAATAACCTAGCCAGGTGAAAAAGTCAAAGAGGGCTGGATGGATCCAGCAGGAGTCCCGGCAGAGGGGGAGGACCAGAGAGGCAACGAAGAAGGGCAGCCAGCAGATGATAAAGGCCCCCAGGATGATGCCCAGGGTTTTAGTGGCTTTCCTTTCTCGAGCAGCAGAAATCCTCTTGCGCTCCAGGACACTGTCAGCGAGCTTGACTTTCACGTGGTTGAAAAAGAGAGGGGAGCCGGCCGAATGGGAGTGCCCCTCGTGAAGGCTGGGGTTGAGGGAGCAGAGCGAGGACCCCGCAGAGCCGGCGATGAGATGCGCTGTGGTGAAGCGCTTCCCGTAGAGCGAGGGCGGATTCAGGATTCGGTTCCTGGCAGCCAGGTAGATCCGGCCATAGAGAATGATAAGCAACACAGACGGGATGTAGAAGGCGCCGCAGGTGGAGTAGATGGTGTAGGAGATCTGCGACGTGTTCACCAGGCAGTCCGACATCTCCTCATGAGCTCTGGCCTGCCGCCAGAAGAGTGGCGGGATGGAGATGCAGATGGAGATGGTCCAGACGATGGCAATCATGGCAGCCGCGTGGCCTGCTGTCCGGCGTTTACTGTACTCCAGGGCATCAGTGATGGCCCAGTACCTGTCCAGAGCAATGACACAGAGATGCAGGATGGAGGCCGTGCAGCACGTGATGTCAGAAGACAGCCAGATGTCACACAGGATTTGGCCAAAGCTCCAGGTGTGAGTGGTGGTATATGCAATGCTGATGGGCATGACCAAGATGGAAACTAAGAGGTCAGTCATGGCCAGAGAGCCGATGAGATAGTTGGCCGGAGTGTGGAGCTTCCTGGTGAGGAAGATGGTAGTAAGCACGAAGGCATTAGAAAGCACGGTGGCCAGCGTGATGATGGAAAGGACCACAGCAAGAGAAATCTTGAGAGCCTGGAGGATCCCTGGATCCCAAGCCTCTGGGGTCTCAGTGGCATTCCAGGATCTGTTGGAGGTCTCCTGGAGAAGGTCTTCCACTGACTGGTTTAGTGGGGACATTCTAGGTGGCTATCTCTTCCTACCGGCTTTACCACAACACAGCTCCTTCTTTCTCAGTTGTCCTACCCACAAAACAAGGTCACCCTTCTCTTTCACGCTGCTGGGAGCCATCCATCAGAACAGACCATAGTGAGAAGACCTGAAGACTTGACTACTCAAAGAACCTTGAGGTGACTAGCAGCTGGTCGTTAAAGGTCTTTCCTAAACCAGGTGAATCCCAAGATATCTCACCATTCTGGAACTCCATCCAGCAAATGGTCAAGCCCTGTGGACACAGGCTCCATTTGTCAAACATCGATTAGGATATCACACCACTCCAGGCAGTGGTCTGGGATTCTAGATGTTGACTCCTTCCAAAGCTTGAGAGATAAATGTGTTTCAGGAGAACTTCAGAATTTCCCCATCCTATTCTGAGAAGTTTCTGGATTTCAGGTTGCCTTTGGGGAGCTCTTAAACTAGAGACAGAAAGTACCAGCTGATTCAGAGAGGCAGTCCAGTCAATAGCTCATAGTTTTCCCAGGTTCGTTTTGATGCATCATGAGGCACTTAACTTTGGTTCCTGTTTCACTGATCATTTGGAGCCTGAACAGACAAAACGTTGCAGTTACCAAGACTTGAAGAATGCATGAGCTGGGAGAAGGCAAAACAAGTGGATCACTGTGGGTTCATTGAGGAGGACACATGTTCAGAAGCTCTGGGGTTTAAAAAAGAGAAAAAGTAAAGAGTTAGGTTCCACAAGGACAGTTTAGACACTTGAGACTAACTAGAAGGTTAAAAGGATACTGCTCTGTGCTGGTAATGATGCAGTGAAACTGGTATTCTTAAAAGTGTCAGGAGAACGCAGGAGAGGGCAATGTGTCCCACCCCTGACAATTCCCAGAGGGGACGTGGCTGTTGGAAGCATTGGCAAGCTTATTACAAATCCATGAAATCAGCTCTGTAAATTGTGAATCAGAAATCATCATTCTGTTTATTCAGCAACAATGGAAACTAAACAAAATAACTCTGGGCATAGTAAAAAATAAAAAAGGCCACCATGGAAACTCCAAATTTTTACAATGTATTTCTCTAGCATTTGGGGAGGAGGAGGTGACTTTTCTTCTGTTAATTTCATATGAACTTTCCAAATTTCCTAGAATGAGCATTGATGATTTTCAAAACAAAACAAAGCCAAAACAGAAACACCTTTGTGATAAGCAAAGAGCAAAATTAAAACCCTGAGTATTTTTCATGGTGAAAGTTTAAATCCAGAAAATACATTGGGCTTTCCAAATGGAAACTGGAAATGTAGTCACAAAAAGTTCTTGAAGACACACTTTCTCCTCTGTGTGCCTCTGGCCTTGAAGCCAGGCTTTAGTATTTAGGACATGGGCTTGGCGCCCCGACCCTGGTGTTGACGAGCACGGTGAGGTAATCCAGAGGGCAGTGTGTGCAGACCCACCTCTGGCATGACCCCAGCTGACGTCTGTGGGGCCTGGCAGGCAGTCCCTGGGTACATGGGGTTGGCAAGAAGGGTGCCAAAATCACGTAGCTCTATCCACATGCCTGCCGTCTCTCCCCCAGCCTTGTGTAGAATGCCACAGCGCCACTAGGAATCCCTGTGATTCATTTTATTTCTTCCAGGTCAACTTAGCAAACAGGCCCTGCCCTGGGAGCATTCACGACCTGGCAGGGGAAGCAAACATGTAGCTTCAAGAACCCTCGGATGGAGGTGGCAACGCAGAATTTATATATACACACTTTTTTTAAAAAGTGGTCATTATAATTATGTATGAGTTTATTTCATTGTGTGTATGCTTTTCAGCTTAATGTATTTCGAATAATGTCCTATCAGTCACTCCCACAACATCCTTCTTAAGGGCCTCATATTGCTGTATCAGGTGGCTACAAACAGAAGGGGTTCACTCATCCAAGTCTGAGGGATGGCTTTCCTAGTGGCTAGAAAGGCAAGAGCAAAGTCCTAGAAGTCAGAAAGTTTAAGGCATGGTCAGAGGACAGAAAAACACCAGTGGGTTGGAGCACAGAGAGAAGAGACAGGGTAGGAGACAAGGTGCAGGAGGCGGCTGGCCCCAGCGGGAGGAGGCAGCTGGTATCGGAGAGCATGGCTTGGCCCAGGACAACCTGGGCTCTACTCCCTGCTCTATGCCAGCCTTCCTGTGTGACCTTGGGCAAGTCCCTTATACCTTCTGAGTCTTAGATTTCTTCCCCTATACACTGGCCACCCTGCCTGCCTTCTAGGACTGCTGTGGAGCTTCCACAGCTCCTGGCAAGGCCAGCCTTTGAAACCCAGTAAAACACTGAAAAGAGTCAAGATTTAGTCTCTGTGCATTGACTGATTTTTAAAACTTTAAGAAGCTAAACTACAATGTGGCAGTTTCCCTCCCACTCCTCAAATGTGTGGATGCTTCATCTTTAAAAACGAACCTGCCTAGAGGAGAGAAAACAGGCTCAATTTAAGAAAACCAATCTTGAGCCACCTGCTCCAGAACACTCCCAAGTTGGAAGGATATAATTATAATACCTTTCGTGGAGTTCCTGCTATGTTCCAGGCCCTGAGCTAGCCCTGGGGCTAAGAGTCACCCCCTGGGAAGTGGGCAATATGATCCCCAACTTACAAATAAGCCCACCATTCTCAGAGAGGTGCAGTCACCTGCCCAAGTCACCCAGCTGGAAGTGGAAAACCAGGTCCAGAGCGAGCTCTCATCAAAAGCAGAAGGGTAGAACATGCCACGTTCCTGCAAGGGAGTGCCGTAGAGGCAGAACTGAGGGCACCCGAGCTGCACGCGTCAGTGGGTGATTCCCATGAACGTAATGCTGAGTGCCAAAGTCAAAAACATGTAACAAGAAACAAACTCTTTTGCCAAAAAAATATATGTGGTGAAGCCATAAAGAAAAGCAAGGAAACATTAGATACAAAATTCAGGATATCAGTTACCCCTGGAGGGGGAAGGATACATGAATATCATTGTGGAGGGGCTTTAAAGGTATCAGTGATGTTCTACTTCTTAAGGTGAGTACATGGATGTTTAATATTATTCTTGGACTATATGTATATTATATATATATATACACACACACACACTCTTTTGTACGGAATGATATATTTGTAATTTTTCTTAATTTTGTACATTAAAAAAACAGAACCACACTATCAGCAATAACACTGATACACTAATACCTATTGATCGATTTGAGTCCTGAAGATCTGGGTTCTGGGTGCATCTCTGCCACTGACCAGCAGGTAACCAAGGGCAAGTCACGACTTCCCTCTGACCCTTAGTTTCTTCCTTGGTAAAATGAGAACATAAGCATGGCTCTGCTGCCCCGGAGGGATATTTAGTCATTCTGGTAAGATCGCATAAGGGACTGCTGTAAATTATGGTGTCCTGAACACCTGTCACGATGGTAACAGAGATGGCGGCAGCGGCTATAAGCATACATTGTAAGTCAGGTGGATTGAGTCCCGATTCTCATTGCTCCACTTTCTTGCTATGGCCACTGGGGAAGTCACTTAAGTTCTCCAGGCCTGCACGGCCTCAGTGGTAGAGATGATAACCCTACCTCACAGGAGGTGGGGGAGAACCGGTCAGATCATGGATTCCAATGCCCATCATAGTAAAGGATGACCTCTGGTTTCTCTATGATGTGTCCAACCATATTCAGGTCTCCAGGCAACAAGGGCTCTTCCCTCGCCAGAAACAAGGCATCGCTGCCCATTTTCGGCAGTGATATCTGCCATCGTCAGAACTACCAGCCACACCAGGGGGCTTCTGCGTGCCCACCACACTCTTGGGAGCCATCATCGCAGCACCAAGGACCTTCCTCAGCCTCCTCCGCCCCAGCAACGTCTCCCCTGTGGGCCACATCGTGCAGACTCCAGCCACACCACACATCCCCAGCTTGAGCATCTCTGCAGAGGGACGGAGGGGATCAACAGGCAGACAGACCTGGGTCCCAATTCCAATGGTCCCATGGACCACCTCTGACCACAGCTGCTTGGACCAGGGTGGCCATGTGACCGAAAATGAGCCAAGCAGATTCTCTCTTGGGAATTTAGAACAGGGACTGTGAGCAGCCGGGCAGACAGATGCTGGAGGGGGAGCAACCTGAAAGCTGAGGATCCTTGAGTCTGGCCACCGGCATGACTGCCCTGAACACCAGGACAAATTTGGAGGGAGGAAAAAAGTCGTAAGTCAAAGAAAAGAGGTTAGAATAGAGAGGCGGAGAATGGTACAGAGAAAGAAGCAGAAAGAGAGGGCAAGCACCTGCCCTAGGAGAGGAGAAGGAGGGAGCCTTCCAGCCCGGCGATACTCTTTCCTATCCTCGGATGTCCATGAGCAACCTTTGTACCCAGGAAAGTTCATTTGTACCAACTTGCGTTTTCCTAGTTGAGCCAGTTAAAATGGGCACAGCAGGCCCTGAGAAACAGTAATAAGACAGAAGATTTTCCATTCCTTCCCACCAACAACCCCTATTGGGGGTCGAGGCAAGTCATTTCACCTCCTGGCTTTTCTTCTTCATCTGTAAATTGGGGTAACAGCACCTTTCTCCCAGAACGGCTCCACAGATTCAGCAAAGGAGGAGTAACATGCCCGGCACAGGGGCTGGTCCACAGCAGGCGTCCTTTCGGTCACTTTTAACTAAGGCTTCCTCCCCAAGGCTCATTCACTTGCAGGAAGATCAGTCACTTCCCCTTTCCAAAGCACCTTTATTTTAGCTAAGTGACTCATAAAGACTTGCCAGAAACCAAGAGGATGTAGGGGTTTAATGTATGCTCAGAAGCCAGTCTCGGCCTTTTAGAAGAAAAAAAGACAAGGCTCTGTGATAAAGATTTGTTGCAGTAAAATAAATCTCCCACAGAGGAATTTGTGTCTGTTCTTTCTCCAGAAGCTGGGTGGTACAGATGAGATGGGGAAGTGATTCTCCATGAATCTGAAGAGTGCTTTACATTTTACAAACTGCAGCCACAGCTGTTACTTCATCTCATTCTCTCTCCTGCACAGGACATTCTCTCTCCTCCCAAGGCCTCAGTTTTCTCCTCTGTAAAATCAGGGCATCAAGTCCAACTCACGGGTGTCATGTGCATGAACTAATGTATGTAGGGAAAACTGAAATTTTTAACATGAGTGTGTGTGTCTGTGTATCTGTATGTTTGTATCTGAGTTCAAGTTTTGACATCTAGTCAGTATCTTGAGCACATCAATCTCTTACCTCAGTTTCTCTAATTAAAAAATCTGGAAAATGTAGAAAACAAAAAGTTGCCATACCTCTGACCCCAAATTCCCACTCCCAGCTATATAGCCAGCAAAAACATGTACGTGTGCCACCAAAAGACCTGGGCAAGAACTGAACCACAAAGAACCACAAACTGAGAGCGACCCAGGCAGACATCAGCAGCAGAATGGGTTCATAGCAGAGCCCTGTGCATCAGTGAGAATGCACCCAGCTCCCCCCTACACACAAGCACAAGGACGAAGCTCCAGGACACAATGTGGAACAGAAGGAGCTCAGCATTCCATCACCACATGTGATTCAATCTTCACAAACTTCAAGAACAGGCAGAACCGACCTACACCGATGGGAGTCACGCTAGTGGGCTGCCCTTCAGGGGAGGGGATGCAGTGACTCGTGGGCAGCATGAGGGGATGGAGGTTGTGGTCTGTTTCTTGAGCCGGGTGTGTTCACTTTGTGGAA